ACAAAGTCCCCTTTTTAAAATTGACCGTTTAAGTGCGAAACGGCTAGTTGTAGCCATTGTGGCTCTGGGTGTAAGATCATCCCATGGCTGAGTGAGACTTTCTCTGGGGGAATTCGCCAGGGATTCGTGTGAGAGAGGCTTCTCAAGTCTGCGAACCAAGGTCTCCTGGGCCAATATGGGGCCACTAGGATTATCTCGGCTCGTTCCTGGAGAAGTTTGTGTATTACGGCTGGGAGGAGAGGCAGGGGGGGGGAAAGCGTATAGGAGGCCCCTCGGCCATGGACTCCGTAATGCATCCGTCTGCTCCGCTCCCACAGATGGGAATCGGGAGAAGAAGCGAGTCAGCTGGGCATTGGACGGGGAAGCGAATAGGTCTACCTGAGGAAGGCCGAAGCGGTGGCAGATCTCCTTGAAGATCCTCGGGTGGAGGCGCCATTCCGCGTGATCTACTGTTGACCTACTCAATAGATCTGCCTGGGTGTTTGTTTCCCCTGATATATGGTCGGCCTTTATTGAGGCCAGGTTTTGTTCTGCCCATATCCCCAGTAGGAGTACTTCGGACCATAGGGAGCGGGAGTGCGTTCCCCCTTGCTGATTTATGTGGGCTTTGGCTGTCATGTTGTCTGTTAGGACTAGTACGTGGCGCCGTGTTAGCCTGCTGTGGAAGTGGATGGATGGCTCGAAGTTCGAGCCAGTTTATGTTGTGACGGAGGTCCACTGTGGACCAGCGGCCCTGTGTCCACCTGGTCCCGAGGTGAGCTCCCCAACCGAACAGGCTTGCACCGGTCGTGAGTACTATTCTGTCCGGCTCCCTGAAATTGGAGCTTTGAATAGGGCTGGCGATAGCCGCCATCTGAGGGAACATCGTACCTGTTGTGGTAACCCTACCCTTCTTTGGGATACTCTGAGCTCCTGCTTCTGGAACGGAAGCATGAACCATTTTAATTCCCGTGAATGCAGTCTGGCCCATGGGACAATTGCTATGGTCGAGATCATTTTCCCTAACAGTTGGGAGAGGCTGACCAGCGTTACCGACTGACGTCGGCGTAACTGTGTTATTGCCTCCCTTATGCTGTTGCGGCGTTCCCGGGAGAGGTATACCTTGCACTCCACTGTGTCTATGATGGCCCCGAGATATAATATTCTCGTTGACGGAACCAGGTGGCTCTTGAGGAAGTTCACCAAGAAACCATGATCCTGTAGCAGTCTCACTACTAGTTTGAGGTCCGCCTGGGCGGAGCGGGCGGACAATGACTGGATTAATATATTGTCCAGATAGCACTGAACTCTGACTGGTATGGTCCTTAGATGAGCTGCCAGGACCGCCAGTATCTTGGTGAACACCCTGGGGGCTGATGATAGGCCGAATGGGAGAGCCCTGTATTGGAAGTGACGTCCCCCGTAAGCGAACCGTAAGAACTGGCGGTGGGTCAGAGAGATGGGGATATGTAAGTACACCTCCGTGAGGTCAATAGACGTCAGGAGGTCCCCTTTTCTTACGCTTCCCAGTATGGAACGCAACGTTTGCATCTTGAATTTGCGATATGCCAGATGGAAATTTAGGCCTTTGAGATCTAGAATAGCTCTCCATCCTCCTGATGGTTTGGGAACCACAAACAGTATGGAGTAAAATCCCTGACCTCTCTGGTCCAGTGGTACCGGTTCTATGGCTCGGATACTTAGTAGGTGTTGAACGGCTTCGTTCATGAGTTTCTTCTTTTTTTGATTTCTGGGACAAGGACAGGGGAGGAAACGGTTTGGTGGCTTGGAGAGGAATTCCAGATAGAGCCTGTGTGGCGTGTGGTGTTTCTGACCCATACGTCCATGGTGGTTTCTTCCCACTGGTGGGCAAACTGGGCAAGCCTGTCCCCTATGGGAAGGGTTGAGGAGTCATCTGGAGCGACGAAAGGGACGGTTGTTCCCCCAAAAGAGCCGCCTTCCCTGCGCTTGCTGCTTAGGCCTTGGGTTTTGCCTTTCTGTTTGTCTCTCCTGCCTATCCTGTCTAGCCTGAAAGGGCTGTGCTGGCTGGGAGTAGGTGAATCTGTTTTCTGCGTGAAAGGAGTTTCCTTCCGAAGTAACCTGGTTGTCTCTCCTGTCTCTTGAGAATGTGTTTAAGGACCTTGCGTTTGTCCTTATTCTCCATTAGATAAGGCGTTAGTGCCTCGCCAAATAATTTGGCTCCCTGCTACGGGGCAGATGCCAGTTTCCATTTGGATTTGGCATCGGCCTGCCAGTGTTTTAACCAAAGCAGGCGTCTGCCCATAATGTTGGACGCTATTGCTCTGGCTGAGAACCTGGCCGCTTGGAGTATTGCGTCTGACGCATACTCCGTGGCTGCAACCATTTTGCTGAATTCCTGTTGGATACGGATGTCCTCTACAGGGACTCGGCCTTGCAATTCACGCAGCCAGCAGAGTGCGGCTCTGCTGAAAAAAGAAGCAGAGGTAGTGGCTCTAGTAGCCCATGTTTTTGCTTGGTGTGTTCTCCGGTAGGTGGACTCGCATTTGCGGTCCTCGGCTTTAAGGGCCTCTGAAAAATCTCCTGATATGGCAGTGTCTGATACTAGGGGCCCTAAGGGCTCGTCTACCGTCGGTATCTCCAACGCCTCCTCCAGTTCCTTAGCTACGTTGTATAGCCTCTTATCGGTCTTACCCGGAAGGGGAAGGGAGGCTGGTGAGGTCCATTGTTTCCGGACAGCGTTTAGGAACAGGGCCGGACAAGGAATGCGGTGTTGAGTGGTTACCTTTTCGGCGAACCTGGGGTCTGCCTCCGCGTCGGGAAGGGCTGGTTCTGCTGGAGTTCCCTGCCTGAGATGAGCCGTGTATTCGGCCTTACGAAGTAGGGTGACAAAAAGAGAAGGCACCTCAGGCAGGTTGTCTTCGTTCTCGGACATTTGAACCTCCTGCGATGTGCCTGGTTGGTCAAGGTAAGAGTCATCGGAAAGGGATGACCCAGAAGGGGAGGAGGGGTCTTGTTGGTCCTCCGTTTCCTTCTGATGGCCGGATCTGTGTCTGGCCGCTGCCGGCATGATGCTCTGGGCTCTGGCCTCGAGGGCACGCTCAACCGCTTGCCCTATTAAGGCCGCTAGCCGGTCCTCTGATGGAATAAGAGGGGCCGAGTTCATTTGTGTCCCCGCTGTCGTGGGTGTGAATGTGGCCTCTGGAGCTCCTTGTGACCTCTCTGGCGAAGAAGATTGGGATAGGGATGAGAATTCACCTGTCCCGCATCTTGCTGAGGACTGGGATGATTCCCCTGTTGACCAGACCTCCAGAAGGGATGATGAGGCCCCCAGAGGTAACTCAGGGGCTAGGTTCCCATTCTGATTCTTCTCTATTCTGACCTTTTTTTGAGCCCTGGCAAATTCTTTTTCTAGGGCTTGGTGTCTCCTGTTTGCTTGTTTGTCTGCCTTCCTGGACAACTTTTTTGTAGATCTGGCCTTAGAGGCCGTTGTATTGTTGGAAGTCTCTGAACCGGGTGCTCCTGACCTGGAAGGCAGGGCTCCTGTAGAGGGCATGAGAGCTTCCTCCATTCTCCAATAGCGCAGGGTCATGAGAGGGAACCCCAGTAATAGGAGAGTATACCAGCTGAGTAAGGACAGACGCACTACAGGGGGCGCCTGGAACCCAGGTACAGCCTCTGTGTCTAGGCCCAAATTGATGGCTGTGCACGGGACAGGCACACTAATGGGGATGCCTGGAACCCGGCCCGGTCTGCTGCAGATAAGGACAGGCACATGATTTGGGGTGCCTGGAATCCAAGCAATAATAACCCAGATACATACAGGTCCACTGATGGCTTACCTGAGGTCCGGGTGGAGCCAGATAATATTTTTTTAAATTTTTTTTTAATTTTTTAAATTAATTAATTGAATTAATTAAATTAATTATTAGCAATTAATTTTGTTTTAATTGATTGTAGTTGGAGAGACACCAAGTCCTGGAAGAGAAGATGCTATTTTTCTATTTACCTTAATGCTCTCTGCTATCTTGCCTATTCTTCTTAAGCTTTCTCTGGTCGGATTTCTCCTTTCTGTGAGTGACGGGGAAATCCCCCCCCAAAACAGCTGATGCTGCCTGGAAAAAACTCTCCGCATGCGCAGTAGCTCCTTCTTGCTGTGTGATGCCACGTGCACTAGAACAAAGGGACGCGCGTGCGCTGAGCAGCTCCGACAATGGCGGTCCTTTTAAACTGTCGGAGCTCTCCGGTGAAGACGGAAGGCAAATTCTCCTGTTTTCCCTCTGTCAGCTGTTCCGCGCTAGGGCCTGAGCTTTCCCTGCACTTTGCTCTCTCTCTTCCTGCACCTCCCCCCCCCCACAAACACCTCCCAAGCGTGCTTCTGCCGTGGAGCTGCAGCCGCAAGCTCCGTCTGCGCTGCTCAGCTGATCCGGCTGAACGGTAAGGGAAGTGAAGGGAGCTAGCTAAAGGGAGAGGAGTAAGGTAGAGGTAAGATAGGTAAGATAGAGAGGAAGGGAATTCCTTCCTCTCTATCAAGGGAGACTTCCCCCGTGGGGTTGTGAATTTTAGGCTCCCTTGAAATTTTAAAATTTAGAAATTTAGTAGGGGCCAATTAAACAGAATTTAATCCTTGCTACCAACTCTCAGCTACTGGGAATAATCCACCAATGGAGAGAAACTGTACCTGCCTAAGAGCCAAGTTGCACATCTGAATGCTGGGTGAGATCAGTCAAGACTGGGAATCTTGTGGTCCAGGACGGGCGTGGCAACTTTGGCTGACTGATCTGATTGGGCAGGAATACAGTCTCAACCTATTGGTGGATTATCCATCTTCAGTGCTGGAGAACTGAATGCTACACCTTACAGTCCAATTATAGTCCATGCTGCCCAGTCATGATCCATACTCCAGATCTGCCTGCTACTATATTCTAATTCAGGGATCTTCAAACTTGGCCCTTTTATGACTTGCGGACTTCAACTCCCAGAATTAGGAATTAGAAATTCTGGGAGTTGAAGTTCACAAGTCATAAAAGGGCCAAGTTTGAAGACTCTTGTTCTAATTATAGGATGGAACATCTAGCAAATTTTTTTTGTGTTGATCTACCGAATGCAGGTATTACAATATTACATTCATACCTGTAAGAAGGTCGCCTAGAAAGAATTTCCCTGCGCTTCTGGGAGTCAGTGACACTGTCCACAGATTCCTGTGAATCTTCACTTTCTGCAATAGTGGAGATCTAGATATAAAAGCATAGTAATGTTATGCTTTTAAACATTATTAACAAGATACTATTTGAAAATCATAAAAAGATCTTTTATGTATGTTTGCAGAATCAAGAAACAGAGATTGCGTATTAAGCAAGATAATATTATGTATTTAATTTAATGAAAGTTTAAGAAAAATTAAGGAACACAAAAATTAAAATGGAAAAACAATGATCTTTTGGGATATGTATCAGTTAAAACAAAACACAGTATCTCTTATGCAACTGCACAAAAACTGTCTTAAGTAATCTGATTCTTTGGTGATCATATTCCAATGTAGCTGCACTTTAAATAACCCAATCTTTAAAAATATTTGCAGGATTTTAGATTTATTAAAATCCTGTCCTGGTAAATATTAATATCAGAACAAAATAGAAAGAAAATTATTTCTGATGTTATAGTTATAACCAAGAGCTATAGTTATGCTATTTGCCTATTTCACTTATTCACATCTTTAAGAATGAAAGTTCCACAAAATTAATTAAGATCTATCTAATCCAGCATCAGGATTTCAATCATGATCAGCCAGATATTTAAGGAAGGCAACCACAAAGCAATTTGTATAGTTCCTGTTTTATACTTATAAATCAACAAAATGATGGAAACTTATTTAGGAAGATACCAGACTTATATTAAATATTTAGATTTTGCCATTTTGGAGAAGTATATAAGATTTTTATTTTAAACCAAAAGTGAAAACAATTTTCTTACTTAGGACATATGAACTCATTTAAATGACTAACTAGTCCTACACAAATATGGAAATACATTATCTCTTTCTTAAAATAATTTTTATGTAAGTTTTATTTTGTTCTTGTTATAGTGATATATTAACTAGATAAATACAATTAATAGAAGCATGTGTGTATGTAGGTTTAACAATACAAAGATATATTATTGTTAGCAGGAATTAATATGGTTACTATTCTTGCGATGGACTACATATTCTATCACAAACATTTTCAACCTGTTATTTCCTCCAGGGAACGTTTTGTATATAAAATGAAGATATGATACAACTTGTTCTTAGTATTTTTAATCTGATTCAGAAAGAAAACTTTATTGAGAAAAACTTTGACAGAGGAGACAAACCATTTTAGCGATGAAGCTCCCAAGTCCCATCTGAGCACATTCTGAAGTAACTTTTTACCCTAACTAGTGTGTACAGTATATAGTCTTCTATTAGAGAAGTCACAATTCAAATTTAAGACAAAATAATAATTAAACTTAAGCAGTATGGATTATCTGTGGAATAATAAAAGAGGACTATCACAAGACATTGTTTAGAACTCACATTCATCCTGCTATTTTCAATTTTTTTTATTGAAAATAAACAGAGAAAAAAACAAAGTTATAGTTTGTTTTTTCCTTACAGATAAGGAAAAAAAAACAACTGTCAGAAAAAATAGACTTACAAATAGTTAAGAAAGTTAAATATTTGGGAATATGCTTAATGGCAAGATGTGCAACAATAAAAGAAGATAATTATATAAAATTACTAAATCAAACAAAATTAGATTTGGAAAAATGGAAAAACTTACAACTATCAGTGTTAGGAAGAATAGCTACTGTGAAAATGAATATTTTACCAAAATTCCTTTTTTTATTTCAAACAGTACCTATAAAAATAGAGAAAAACTTTTTTGATGATTTGAATACACTGATCTCAAAATTTATTTGGCAAGGAAGGACAGCCAGAATTAAACTGAAAACATTATAAGAAGCTAAAAAAAATGGAGGATCGCCTTCTTTGGCAACCCCCGAAAAATGGTCGATCGACCCCAAATGGGGTCGCGACCCATAGGTTGAGAACCGCTAGTCTAGTAAATGCTGGAAATGTAATCCAAATCCTGGTACATATTATCACCTGTGGTGGACATGTATTAAAGCAAAAATATTTTGGACAAAAAAACATACTTGGTTAGAAAAGATGTTAGGGAAGGGGCGTTGACTTACCTGAACGCCTTTTCTCAGCACGGAGATGGATAATCCACGCTGTGGGTTGAGACTGTATTCCTGGCCAATCAGATCAGTCAGCCAAAGTTGCCACGCCCCGTCTTGGACCATGATCCTTTAGTCTTGACTCGAGCGCAGCCATTGACTGACAGTAAGACGTTTTGGCTCCACTAAATATACCCTATTATTCTAGTCTATAAGGGTGGGTGTGGATTATCCATCTCCGTGCTGAGAAAAGGCGTTCAGGTAAGTCAACGCCCCTTCTCCAGCACTGGAGATGGATAATCCACGCAGTGGGACATACCAAAGCCTATTGTCCCTTGGGTTGGGGAATAGACTGGTCCCGTGTGCAACTTTGGTCTAGCACCTGCTGGAGAACCCTCCTACCGAAGGAGGCCTCTGCAGAGGAGTACCTGTCGATTTTGTAATGACGAATGAATGGAGAGGGCGAGGCCCAAGTGGCTGCCCTGCATACCTCTTCAATAGAAGCCTGCATGGCCCATGCTGCTGAGGTGGCAGCACTCCTTGTGGAATGGGCTGTGATATGCTTGGGGACTTGCAAGGACTCCGCCTGGTATGCCCCCGTGATGCATGCCCTAATCCACCTACCGATGGTAGAGGACGAGACCTTCCGGCCCCTAGTAGCAGGGTGGAAGGATATGAAAAGCGCTTCCGAGCGTCGGAATTCCGCTGTGCGTGAAATGTAATGTCTTAGTGCCCTGCGTACGTCCAAGGTGTGCCATTGTTGTTCCAGGGGATGAGCTGGGTTTGGACAGAAGTCTGGTAGGACTATTTCCTGTGATCTGTGAAAAAGGGAGTTGACCTTTGGAATGAATGAAGGGTCTATTCTTAGGACTACCTTGTCCCTGTGAAAATGGCACAGGTCCTTCCTCATTGAGAGAGAAGCTAACTCGGATATCCGCCGAGCTGACGTGATGGCTACCAAGAATGCTACCTTATGGGTCAGATAGCGAATGTCACATGTTTTGAGTGGTTCGAAGGGCGCTCTGGTAAGAGCTTGTAGTACTCGTGGTAGTTCCCACGATGGATACCTGTGCACGGTTGGCGGTCTGATGTTTGCAGCCCCCTTGAGGAAGGATCGTATTAAGGGATGCTTGCCCAAGGATTCACCGGGGCTGGCAGAAAGTATAGTTGAGAGGGCGGCGATTTGCCTGCGCAGTGTGTTTGGCGAGAGGTCCCTCTCTAGGCCATCTAGTAAAAATTCTAGGATCTTGGGAATTGTGATCCCTTCGAGTAACAATTCCTGTTTAGAGCACCATGATTGGAAGCTTCTCCACGTGGCCTCGTAGATACGGTTCGTGGAGGGGCGCCTTGATGCCTGTATGACCCTAATTACACCCTGTGAGCAAGCCCCCTTGGCTAAAATTGACCGTTCAAGAGCCAGACGGCTAGTTGTAGCCATTGTGGCTCTGGGTGGGAGATCTCCCCCTGCTTGAGGGAGATCCTCTCCGGAGGAATCCGCCATGGATTCGTGCGGGAGAGACTCCTCAAGTCTGCGAACCAAGGTCTCCTTGGCCAATAAGGGGCCACAAGGATTACCTCGGCCCTTTCCCGCAGAATCTTGCGTACTACCGCCGGAAGGAGAGGTAAGGGTGGAAACGCGTACAGGAGCCCCCTTGGCCATGGGCTCCGTAACGCGTCCGTCTGCTCTGCTCCCTTGGATGGGAATCGGGAGAAGAAGCGAGTTAGGTGGGCATTGGAAGGAGAGGCAAAAAGGTCCACCTGGGGAAGCCCGAAGCGGTGACAGACCTCCCTGAAGATCCTCGGGTGTAGTTGCCACTCCGAGTGATCTATTGTTGATCTGCTCAACAGATCTGCTTGGATGTTTGCCTCCCCCGATATGTGGTCGGCCTTTATGGAGGCCAGATTTTGTTCCGCCCAGGCCCCCAGTAGGAGGGCCTCGGCCGAGAGCGAGCGAGAGTGTGTGCCCCCCTGACGGTTTATGTGGGCCTTGGCTGTCACGTTGTCCGTCAGGACCAGTACGTGCCTGCCTTTTATGCTGCTGTGAAAATGCCTTAACGCTAGGTGAATAGCCCGCAGCTCGAGCCAGTTTATGTTGTGTCGGAGATCCACCGCTGACCAGCGGCCCTGTGTCCACTTGGTCCCCAAGTGGCCTCCCCAGCCGAATAAGCTCGCATCTGTTGTGACTACTACTCTGTCTGGTTCCCTGAAGGGGGACCCCCTGAGGAGAGCTGGAGATAGCCACCACCTGAGGGAGTGTCGTACTCTCAGAGGTATGCCTACCCTCTTCCGGGATGCACTGATTTGTTGTCTCTGAAACGGGAGCATGAACCATTGCAGTTCTCTTGAGTGCAGCCTTGCCCAAGGAACTATTGCTATGGTCGATATCATCTTCCCTAGCAGCTGGGAGAGGCAGACCAGCGTCACTGACTGACCGCGGCTTACCTGTTTTACGGCTTTCTTTATGCTGCTGAGGCGTTCCTGTGATAGGTACACCTTGCATTCCTTTGTGTCTATGACCGCTCCCAGGTGGAGTATTCTCGTAGTTGGGGTTAGATGGCTCTTTGGAAAGTTCACCGAGAAGCCGTGGTCCTGCAGCATTTTTATCACTAACTTTAGGTCCGCCCGAGACTGCTGGGCGGACGATGACTGGATTAGAATATCGTCCAGGTAGCACTGGACTCTGACTGGTACGTTTCTTAGTTGTGCTGCCAGAACCGCCAGAATCTTGGTGAACACCCTGGGCGCTGATGACAGGCCGAATGGAAGTGCCCTGTATTGAAAATGGTGCCCCCTGTAGGCAAACCGTAGAAAGCGGCGGTGAGCCAGAGAGATAGGGATGTGCAAGTATGCCTCCGTGAGGTCGATCGATGCCAGAAAATCCCCTTTCCTTACGCTTCCAAGGATGGAGCGTAGTGTCTGCATTTTGAATTTGCGGTATTTTATGTAGAAATTTAGCCTTTTCAAATCCAAAACGGCTCTCCAACCCCCTGAGGGTTTTGGGACCGCGAAGAGGATAGAATAAAACCCCTGGTCTCTCTGGTTCATAGGCACCGGCTCTACGGCCCGTATGTTTAGAAGGTGCTGAACGGCCTCGTTCATGAGCCTTCTCTTTGTTGGGTTTGTGGGACAGGGGGACGGGCGGAAGCGGTTCGGGGGCTTTGAGAAAAATTCTAGAGATAGACCATGACGTATGGTGTTCCTGACCCATACATCCGTGGTGGTCTCTTCCCACTGGGGAGCAAACCCTGCTAGTCTGCCCCCTATGGGAAGGTCTGGGCGGGAGTCATCTGGTACGGCGGAAGGGGCGGTTGTTCCCCCGAAAGGGCCGTCTTCCCTGTGTTTGCCTATGTCTTGTGTTCTGTCTGTCCCCCTGTCTTTCCCTATCCTGTCTAGCTTGGAAGGGTTGGGAATTTTGAAAGTAGTTGACCCTGGCTTCTGTACGAAAGGATTGTTTCCTTCCCCAGGAGCCGGGTCTCTTGTCCTGCCTTTTAAGCATGTGTTTAAGGACCTTGCGCTTGTCCTTGTTCTCTGTCAGGTATGGCGTTAGTGCCTCACCAAACAGCTTTGCCCCTTGGTACGGAGCCGAAGCCAATTTCCACTTGGATTTGGTATCCGCCTGCCAGTTCTTTAGCCAGAGGATGCGCCTGCTCGTGTTGTTTGCCGCCATTGCCTTGGCTGAAAACTTGGTCGCTAAAAGTGTTGCGTCCGACGCATATTCCGTGGCCGCTACCATTTTGCTGAGTTCCTGGTGAGTGCGTATATCCTCCATGGGAACCCGGCCCTGTAACTCACGGAGCCAACAAAGTGTGGCTCTGGTGAAAAAGGACGCGGAGGTAGACGCCCTGGTAGCCCAAGCTATTGCCTGGTGCGTTCTCCTGTAGTTGGACTCACTCTTTCGGTCCTCGGCTTTAAGAGCCTCAGCAAAATCTCCTGATATGGCCGTGTCCGATATCAGGGGACCTATGGGTTCGTCCACCACCGGCACCTCCAATGTTCCCTCTAGCTCCCTTGCTACGTTAAATAGCTTCCTCTCCGCATTGCTAGGAAGCGGTAGGGAGGTTGGCGCTGCCCACTGTTTCCTTATTGTGTTTAGGAACATGGTCGGGCATGGTATGCGGTGTTGAGTGGTTACCTTTTCGGCGAACGTCGGCTCAGCCTCCGTGTCAACTGTGACAGGCTCCGCTGGTGTCCCATGCCCCAGATGGGCTGTGGCCTCAGCCTTGCGCAGAATAGTAACAAAAAGAGAAGGGTTAAACAGGCCGCTGAAGGACGGCCCTTGAGGTGAGGTGTCCTCCTCCTCCTCAGACATTTGAATCCCTTGTGACGTACCTGGCTGGTCCAGGTAAGCTTCCTCAGAGACCGACGAGTCTGAGATGGAGGAGAGGTCCTGATGGTCCTCCGTTTCCTCCCGATGCCTCGTTCTAAGTCCTAGAGGCTTGGCTTTTGAAGTTTGAGCCCTGGCCTCAAATGCACGGTCCACTGCCTGTGCTATTAGGGTAGCTAGCAGATCCCCTGTCAATGCAGGAGGAGTGACCATTGCCTGCAACCCTGCAGGTGCTGTGGTTAGCATGGTCCTCGGGGTTTCCTGTAACCTCCGTGGGGAGGGGGATCGGGAGAGCGATGAGAATTCACCTATCCCACCCTCTGTTTGGGACTGTGATGAGTTCCCTAATGACCAAATGGCCCGTGGGGATGAAGGGAGACCCAGCGGTAGGTCAGGACCTATTCCCCCATTCTGCCTATTTTCAATTCTGGCCCTTTTCTGGGCTCTGTCGAACTCTTTTTCTAGGGCTTGGTGTCTTCTGATTGCCTGTTTGTCAGCCTTCTTTGATGACTTCCTTGCAGCCTTTCTAGGGGCTGCAGAGGATTCCGAATCCTCTGAAGCAGGTGCTCCAGAGGATGAAGGCGGGGCTCCAGTGGAGGGAATGATTGCTTCCTCCATTCTCCACTAACGCTGGGCCGCGATAGGGGGGACCCAGGTAGTAGGAGAGCTCCAACTTTGAGTAAGGACAGGCGCACTACTGGGGGCGTCTGGAACTCAGGAGCAGACTCTGCAAAATTGTCAGAGTTAGTCACTGTGCACGGATAAGAACAGGCACGCTAATGGGAATGCCTGGAACCCGGCTTGACTATGGTGGGTAAGGACAGGCACGCGACTGGGGATGCCTGGAACCCACCACTAAATCCAGAGGCGTACGGGCCACTAATGGGGGACCCGAAGTCTGGAAGGAGCCAAAGGCAACTAAACACAGTTAGTTATGAAAGGTTCTTATTTACTTTAGGTAGAAGACACCAAGTCCTGGAACCAGTAGCTATGTGTCTGATTTGAATGTCTCTGAATGAATAATAGATGCTTTAGTACCCCAGTACTGCTTGCCTATTAATTCACTCCAGCGGCTGAACCTAGCTTTCTTAAGGAACTTTAACTCCCCTGTTTGGACAAAAAATATGGCCGCCGCTGCCAGGAAACTACTGCGCATGTGTTAACAAGGCTGCCTATGCCACGTGCGGTTGTAACAAAGAGCTGCGCGTGCTTCCAGCTGTGCAGACAATGGCGCCTCGTTTAAAAAATCCTGAGCAGCCTGGAGTGAAAAGACTGCTCCTTCGCACGCCAGCTGTTTCCCTTAATCAATCTCCCTCCCAGCATGCGTCCCCTTTGTCCTCCGCTTCCCTTGCTAACTGCTTGCCTTTCTGTCTTTTTTTTTGTTTGTTTGTTTGTTTTAAACGCGAGGGGTTGCCCGAGCCTCCCCGTTTGTTTAAGGCGGCTGCCGGCTGCTGGAAGGTGGCTGGGGTTGGTTAGGGAGGGGAGTTAGGGATTTCCCCCTTTTAAGTGGGGGTGGTTTCCCCTGTAGGAATCTGACTTCCTGAGTTTTACAATTTAGCAAGGAAATTTTTGAGTGGTCAATTAAATTGAATTAATTATCTCTAATTAACTTTTAAACTAAGCAATTTCAGCTACTAGAAAAAATCCCCCCTAATGGAAAGGAACTATACCTGCCCAGGAGCCAAAAGTTGTAGATGTCTCGCATGGCCAGATCAGTCAAGACTAAAGGATCATGGTCCAAGACGGGGCGTGGCAACTTTGGCTGACTGATCTGATTGGCCAGGAATACAGTCTCAACCCACTGCGTGAATTATCCATCTCCAGTGCTGGAGAAACACATAGATTTTAAACCTGAACTTTTTTTATTAGGCATAATAAATAATAAGCCTAGGACTGAAAATCAGGCTTGTCAGATGCTATATTTTTTTCTATCCTGCTCTATGGAGTAGAGAATTGGTCTCTTGACAGAAGGCTACCTGAAGAGACTAGAAGCATTTGAAATGTGGATTTATAGGCGACTGTTACGTATAAGCTGGGTTGACAAGATCAGAAATGAGGAGGTGATAAGCCGCCTGGGAAAGCCAAGGGAAATCATCAAAACAATTAAAAAACGAAAATTAGAATATTTTGGACGTGTGATGCGACACCCAGAAAAATATGGCATACTCCATTTAATCCTCCATGGAAAGATTGAAGGCAAACACGGTCCAGGCAGAAGAAGAACATCATGGCTTCAAAATCTAAGGGACTGGTTTGGACAAAACTTAGCAGCACTTTTTCGTGTGGCTGCTGATAAAAACAGGATCGCCAACATGATCGCCAACGTGCGATAATGGATATGGCACAAGAAGAAGATAATTCCAGAAAAATTTGATAAACAAAGTGTATGTTTAACATTACATGTATTAACAGCAGCGAGAACTGTATTTGCATAGCACTGGAAAAATGAAAAAACACCATTGGATGAAGAGATAATCAAGAAAATACTGGACTGTGCTGAAATGGATAGACTTACATTGAGAATCAAAGAAAAAGAAGACACAGAATATTTTCAAACATGGAACTTATTTTATCAATGGCTGGAAAAATGAAATAGAGAGTAAGAACTTAACTTCTATTACTAAGCAAAAAATTAACCCAAACACGTTGTTCATTAAGCACTAGTGAATTATAATAACAGAAAATTAATAAAATACTTTTTTTTAAAAAAAGAAGTCACATTCATAAAACTAAATTGGTATATCATAGGTATATATATGGCTAATATAGCTCAGTATAAAGCAATTTTCCAGTAGTTCTATGTTTTTGTGCTAATTTTAAAAATACCTTCAATTTACCTGAACTGTCTGGACTTGCGGAGACTGAATAACCGATGGCTGAGCAGCTTGAATAACACCATGGACTTGAACTGTCTGTCCATTAGGCAACTGCACTAAGGTCACAGTGGGAGCAGATGATGTTGCATGAGCTGCAGGCATGGATACCTAATGAAAGAGTGACACATTTTAAAAACATTTAATGTCAATGTAAGAATAGGAAACTCCCAGTTGGCAGACCATTTGCAACTCCTAAATGACTCTTGTGTGGCTTGCCACAGGTTCCCAGATCTCACCAGCTGCCTATCTTGCACCAACCCTTGTTTCTACCAAAGTTCCTAAGTTAACATTCTATTCCAGTTATATAGTCAGACTTCGTTCAGCAGATATATTTGGATACAATATTTGAATCACTTGGATAAAATTAGCAATGATTAGCTTTTGTAAGAAATCTAGAAATTGTACCTACAATCAGTTATGTAGGCTTTCCTTTGATGCAATTAATATCATTAACTTTATGTAGCTAGATCTATAAAATTATGAAATTTCCAATATGCAAAAAATTACTACCTATTTGTGACATGCTACAGGGATCCTGCAGGAATTGTGAATGTGCACATTGTTCATGATGAATCAGAAGTCATCATTTTAGTTTTTCGTCAGACAGAAACATCCAAGGATGTGAATATTCTTTTGCTTTGTACAGACTTAGTACTAATAAAGCTAATTGCAAACCAGTGAATATTTTATTTTCAAATCCCTAAAAATCTACTATATTTTTCATATAAGTGTTCACTATTAGGTTGTGCAATGTACTTTTGAACAATTTACTATTCTTACATTTGAAGCATTTGCTAGTCATACTCAGTGAGAAGTTATGATCAGTTGATCATATAAAGTGCTATGAAAATATTAGTAATGGTTATTAGAATCAGAATATTTCTCTAACAGAAGGTACAGTAAGTCTAGCAGTTATATAATACTCTCTGCATTTTCCCACTCTAAATTTTCCTTCTATCCCTTGCTAGTCCAATCTATCCCTTGCTAGTCCAATCTATCCCTTGCTAGTCCAATTATACAGGTAGTCCTCAATCTACAATTGAGCCCAAAATTTATGTTGTTAAATGAGAAATTTGTTAAGTAAATTTTTGCTCTTTTACAATTTTTCTTGCCACATTTGTTAAGTAAATCATTGCAGTTGTTAAATTAGTAACACAATTGTTAAGTGAATCTAGTTTCCCTATTGACTTTGCTTATCAGAAATTCTCAAAAGGTGATCACATGACTCCAGGACACTGCATCCGTCATAAATGTGAATCAGTTGTCAAGCATCTGAATATAAATCATGTGACCCTGGGGATGCTACAACAGTCATAAGTCTAAAAAATGGTCATAAGTTGCTTTTTTCAGTGCCACTGTAACTTCGAACGGTCACTAAACAAACTGTTGTTTAAATTGAGGACTACCTGTATAGGCAAATTTATATAGGTGAATATTGTTCTCGTTGATACAACTATTAAGAAAATAATTATTTTTTGTCTATTCACAATATATTGAAAGGCTGTGTTTGACTTACTGCAATTAATGGGATTTTAAAAGCCTTTAATTGTTTCAATTAAAATACAATATTACAATTCTAAATATTTAAAAAAATAAGGGATGGGTTTTTTTTTGCTTTTTGCTTTGAATGGGAGCCACAAAATTAACTTAATAATTATTACCAAGGCTACTTCTTGAATCTACAATGTGTCATTAAACACTACAGGGCAACTAGCATATTTTTTATTGTACCTGACTTTAAAAAAAAAAGAAAGAATGCAAGTATTCTGTAAAGCAAATTGCCAGTCTCCATGCTCATCTTTATTTCCAAAACTACCTCTTAGTATCAAATAGACCCCATAAAATGGTGAATAGCTTTAATCTGAAATATGCCTACAGAGTTGGAAAAGAATAAAACTATGTAGAAGTAAGGATTACATAGGTTGGCAGAGTGTATTTTGGTATAGTCATGCTTTACACAGATGCATAAAACATTACAAGTTAAAACATTCTCAGATTTATGTGACCATTTTGGACATTTTGAGTTTAAAATATCCTTATGTCTTTTTCCAAAGGAACAAAATAGGGACTTTTACATTATTTTAAGAGTTTTAAGGTTCTAAAATTGACTTATTAAATTTACTGTTTAAAATATTTTTAAAAATATATTAAATAGCTGATGCTATTTTCTACTGATTCTAAAAAAGTATATAAAATGTGTGTAAAATAACTTTAGTGCTTTAAAATGTATTATTTCACTATGGCAGGAATTTTGTAAATGAGTGTCCTTACCACTAGCCTCCTTTGAAAATGCCATAAAAATGTCACAAAATTTCCAATTTGTTCATCAACCCATAAAGTTGCAGATTCCACAGATGGGAAATAAATCAGTCTGTACAAATTTGTACCTGGGCCAATGTTGCAATTTGTGGTTGTGTCTGTACAGTCATCTGTTGATTTTCTGCCTCTGTAACAGTTGCATCTCCACTCTGTTGGTTCTCTGCACCAGATTCCATGGTCATTTAGTTATCTATAATGATCATGATCATCATCATTCACATGTAACAAATAAAAAATATTTATTATAAAAATAATAAACAGATATTTATTAGTTATTATTTTGTTATATTAAAATTTTTCTTCATTTACACAGAAGTAGTCTTGATTTTATGATTGATCGTTTAATGACGTTCAAGCTTACGATGGCCTAAGAAAGGATGCTTTACAGCCTGTAAAGTACTTCTGACCATCGTAAACGGTTGCACCAACCTTTCTCCCCAAATCACATGGTTGTCATCAGGGTTTAACAATCTGTTCACACTTAAGAAGGTAAGTGTCTTGCGATCACTTGACTGTCGTTTTTAATCTTCTCTACCACTTGTCTAGAGCACTCTCTTTGGTTATAGAGGCTGGTTGACGAAAGCTGAACTCGTTCAGTGGGGTGGAGAAACCAACTTAGATCCTAAAGATCTAACTCCATTCCTGCACCCTGCTGAAAACATTCCCTTTCACACTTGGGAGGGGAGCTGATGTACTTTCTGATGATTTATGCTCAGTTTCTGCACCCCATGGAAGGAATTCCCTTCTGTGATAAAGAAGAGCTGATATCCTTCGATAGACAGTTCTTTCAACCAACCCTAGAAATGAGAGGGAGAGAATCTAAAGTGTTTCAGCTCAAGCAGTGAGGCAGCACAGTAACATAAAGGGCGGGGAAGCTCGGCATAGACTACGCATGAGTGTCTCTCCCTCAGGATTTCAGCAGGCAAGATTTTCAGCTCTTGAGCAGAGCCTCCTAAAGTTTCCCTCTGCCAGAGACATCCTGGACTACAGTTTGCTTAATGAACCATGCAATCACTTAAAGACCACAGAGAGGAGTGCGGGGATTGCAGTAATTGAACAAAGCAGTCATGTGAATAGTCACATGTCTCACTTAATGACTGCTTTGCTTAGCAACCAAGACTCCAGTCTCAGTTGTGGCTAAGCGAGGACTGCTTTTGATCATAAATTAATTACTGCAGCTCTGCACACAATTGGATTTAACACTACACAAATAATACACAACTTTGCATTTATTTAGGAGTAAATTCAAATAAAATCAACCGCATGTATTTCCTACAGAAAACCTTATGCAAAGTAACTGATAGAACTTGGCTCCCTGTCCTGCTCCTCCCTTGGCAACCTCCCAATCAGAGTCCTTGGAAGATCAGAGGACTGACTGAGTTAAGTCAGACATGAAGCAGGGTGAGAAGAAGGAAGAATCAATTATTTCCAGAAGTTGTCTCTGATGATTTTTCTAATCTTGCTTATATGAGTTATTTTCTATGTTATATGTTTTATCGAAGAGAAGACTTAGCATAACAAGCAATCAAATTAAAGATAGAAGTAGCATAAAAATAAATTATGGAATAATAATTGTGATAAAGGTTTTTGCCAAAAAAGTTGCAACAAAATCTCAACCAAGAGTCATGCTAAGATTTGAAGGGTCTAGTAATTAAAAATATTAAAATTATCCTTTTCTCTTGATGTGGATTTTTAACAGTAATTCTCCTCCAAACAATAACCTAGCTTATGTTAAAACTTGCTATTATTAAAATTTAGAGATTCTACCTTGCATGACAATATGAGCATTCTGGGTTCTGGTTGCACAAGTGACATTTTGGCCAATACACGCCCATATTGGCCACTTCTGTTATAGTTAAGCAGGAAAAACTACATGTGGCACAGCTTCAACTAAAGCTGGCAATCCATTTTACAAAAAACATTATGGAAAACCTTCATTGAGTCTATCATGAAGAGTGAAGGAAACAAATATCTACGGGTTTACCTAGTGCCAACTGTGTATAAAACACTCCTTACTTAAAATGTAAGGAGTAAATGACAGCACATGAATTAAAAAAAGAAATGAAAAATACTTGTATGTTTGGGGAACTAAGAGAAGGAGGAAGATTGTAACAGATATTAACAAACCCAATTTGATCTTGTGATGTATAGTTGATTAGTACATGCAGGGAAGTAAACCTATAAAGGTAGTCCTTGACTTATAACAGTTCATTTGGTAACTGTTCAAAGTTACAACGGCACTGAAAAAGATGATTTATTACTGTTTTTCACCTTACAACCATTGCAGCATCCTCATGATCAAAATTCAGATGCTTAGCAACTGGTTCATATTTATGATGGTTGCAGTGTCCTGGAGTCATGTGATCAGCTTTTGAGACCTCCTGACAAGCAAAATCAATGAGGAATCCAGATTCACTTAACAACCATGTTACTAACTTAACGCAATGATTCATTTAATTGTAACAAGAAAGTTGTAAAATGGGGCAAAACTCACTTAACAAATGTTTCAATTAGCAACATAAATTTTAGGCTCAGTTGTGGTTGTAACTTGAGGACTACCTATAGTGTAATAATGAATGACAGAGCTATAATATAGGTCAGGAAATAGGAATTGTTATTTAGAATGTTATAGCATATGTGAAAATAGAATTAATTGATTCTGCATATTATACTTCAGTGAAAGGTCATGATGGGAGAAGTTGAGGTGGGTTTGGGGGAAAGTTCTGAACAATTATAACCCAAAGGAAATAATGATTCTGTGACATGAATGGATAAAGACAAGAAAGCAAAGAAGTGACAGGGCCATTTGGGGAGCCTACAGCAAATGAAGATGGTGTTCTGCTTCATGAGTGCTTGCTTATAGTAAGGGCATATCTCAAATTAAATGGAAAAAATGAGAAAAGCTCCTTGAAAGAAGCATAAAATGAAAGAGGCTGCAGAGAAGAAAAAATGCATGTAACAAGATTGATTGCTGCATAGTTAAAAATGTAATCAAAGCAACAGTTAAAATTAAGAGACAAATGAAATGCAGAATGATTTTAATGGAAATATGAAATTGTTACAGACATGAGACAAGAGGGATAACAAGACGCCCTTGGAATTATTGAAATTTTAAGGTGATAAAATGATCAGGGATGAAGCTGATGTGAAGGAATGTTGGAGAAACTATTTGGAAATTTGTATAAGAATGTATTGTATCATAGTTATATGATAAAATGATGAAACAAAAATCAATGCTATAAATACTAGTACTGAAGGAAAAAATAACCAATAACCAATGCTGTTAAGAATGTTGAAAAAGGGCAAGAATGCAGGTGCACAAAATCTCAAAATGAAAGAACTGTAAAGTTGGAATAGACCCAAATATCAACTAGTTCAACCTTTTGCAATTTGTGGAGAAAACTAAACTATCTGTGAGAGATGGCACTTTTAAAAAAACCCTCCAAAAATGAAGAATCTACAACTACCATAGGCAGACTTTTTCACAGCTGTTCAGATCTTATTAACAGTAACATTTTCCTTGTATTTGAATTTAAAACTTTATAGCTGCAACTTATAAGCAATATTACTGGTTTTAGTTTCTATGGCAATGGAAAATAGTTTCTTGCTATCTTCTCTACAAGTCCCTTTTATATTACTGAACACAAATACCATGTCTCCCCTTAGTCTTCTTTTCTCTAGATGAAACATCCCAAGTTCCTTTAATCTGTCCCCACAATAGGGCTTATTCTCAATTTTTTTGTATTAAATTTTCTTCTGAACCTATATTATCTAACAATATCTGTTTGGAAATGTGGTGCCCAGAATCATTTATAATATTCCATATGAAAGGAGGGGTGTTCTGATGCACCCCAGAACTGTTAGCAGATGTTGCACAATATGCCTCTTTTTTAGCTTGCTGTCGATGATGGCCAAGTTCTTCTCTGATGTTGTGCCCCAAGCCACCTTGACAGAATTGTTAAGTAATATTTTGTACACTTGCACATCAAATCACAATGCTTTGAAATGGTTACGTTTCAAAGATCAAATGCAAACAAAAAATTTCCATTTGGATGCCAAGGAAAACTATAATTTGCATAGACAACATTGAAATGAAGCTAAAATTCCGGATCGGGTCACTAACTTTATTATCACTGTAGTAGTAATATAATCCAAGCTGCAATACATTCACTGATCATAGATTATGTCTAGGCCCCAATTTAGTATATATCCACAATAATTAAATAAGTAAGATTAATAATTAATCATCCCATAAGCCACCCAGAGTTACCTTGTGATAAGATGAGCTACTAATAAATTTTACAAACAAATAAAATAAATAATACTTCATGTTTCAGATTCCCATCCTCTTTAGAGACAGCTTCTGATCCTCCTATTAAAAACTATTCTTGCAGATTACTGTTCTCTGGGAATTTTAAAGTTGTTAGCCTAACACTTCTTTATATCAATTGTAAATGTACTAAAGAATTGCATTGAAATTATTTTTCACTGTGACAAGTAAAAATTGTGCTTGGCTCATGACGACAAAATCCCCACAGAAGGGATTTAAAGTTTTAATAAGACATTAACCAAGTTTTAAAACACATTTTGGAGCTGAACTTAGCCTGTTCAAATTTTATTTATATAATAGATAGGGAATGTTCCAGCTTTGGAGATAGCCAGAATTCAGCAGCATAGGATATGGTTTATTTTCAGAATACACCATTTAATCTATGCAAGATTAAAATGATCAATTAGTTGGCTTTTATAATAAGCAGTATAGTACTGGATTATAGAAACAAAGTACAACTCTGCATAATTTTTTCTCCCTTTACAATTTCTGACATAATTTTAGTCATAATAGATAAGCTGAATTACCATTTAACTGCCATGATACAGTGTAGTTTTTGCCTTAGTTTCTACCAGGAGAAAGCATTTGTCTACAGATCAGACTAATTTGAGAGAGAGAGAGATCAATTCTTCAAGTGATCACTCTTTGGTCAACTTCCACAAAATTTACACTAGCGACTATAATCAGGGAACCAACCAAGAATTTACACTTGATGTGCAAGACTCAGATCAGCATGGGTTCCACAAAGTAGTCTTCCAGAATGACCCTATTTAGTGTGTTCAAATCAAAGCGATTAGCCAATTTCGTTAAATAAGAAATTGTAAAGCTGCAAGTCCCATCTTTGGCTGAACAGGAAAGAA